TTTTAATCTATTTTTTGTCATTTCAGACCCCTATATTCAAAGCTATTCAAACATAAGCCTGTGTGTATAGGAGACACCTATATGTGACCTTTCTGGAAGCCCCTGGGCCTCTGGATCTTGAAAATACTAATTTTCTAGACTTGTAATTACAATTCTTTACATCTCCACATTCCAAAAGATCCCAGACCTCTAGATCCTGATGACAAGGCCTATTATTTGAAGGTGATTTTTTTTTCTTTGAGCATATATTTATGGCTTACTTAGTTTCCTTCTCTGAGATGTAGGTTATTTAAATTCTCTATTTCTTTTTCTGTTAATTTGAGTTATTTATATTTTTGTAAATATCCATCTACCTCATTAAGTGATAGCTTTGTTGGCATAGAATTGGTCAAAATTGCTTCTAATAATTTCCCTGATGTTCTTTTTGTTAACTATTTTTTGACAAGGGTAGTTTGATTTTCTTCCTCTTTTAAAAAAATCAAATTTGGTAATGGTTTATTATTATTTTTTAAATAGTTCTTAGTTTTAGCAGTTCAATGGCTTTTTAAAAAATTTTATTTATATACCTAATCTTCACAACTTCTATTTTTGTATTTGGTTGTGGTTTTAAATTACAGTTATCCCTTCCACATCATGGGGGTTAGGGGCATGGTGCCCCCATGATCTGATAAATCCATGTAAAAAGTTTTGGCCCTCTCTTCACACCAAAGAGTCTGAATTATTATGGTATTAAAAGATAAAATATGTTGATATTCTATGATACTACACCTCTATTTTATGCATCTCTGAGTTTCTAAACTTTTTCTGTGTCATCTGCAGCTTCTGAAAAACTCCCAGAAAATTCCCATTTAATTTCTTATGCTGACCCAGGATATATTGAAACTGCAGTGGGGAAAGCTGTGATGCGGAAGGGATAACTAGTTGTTTTTTAGTTGCACGCTCAATTCAAAGATCTATTTTCTCTCTTTTGTTAATGAAACAATTTGATATGAATTCTCCCCAATGACTTTTGCCTACTTCCCCCAAATTTTGATGTGTTGCCTTGTTCTTGTCTTTTCCTTGATAAAATTATTTATTATTTCTGTGACTTGTTCTCTGACTCACATACTTTCCAGGATAATTTCTGGCCTCCATTTAAGTTTGCAAACTTTCTTCAAGTGCCCTTATTATTTTTATTACATCATGCTTAATAAAAATGTGTTTAGGATTTCTACTTTCCTATATTTTATTTATGACGTTTCCTTAATGGTCAATTTTTGTAAAGCTGCCATGCACAGCAGAGGAATATCTACACTCTTTTCAATTCCTGGTCAGTAATCACCAGCAATCTAAAATATTTAATTTTATAAAATTCCATTCCAATCCTAACTTCTTTCTTGCTTGTCTTTTTGTTAGATTTGTGTAGTTCTGAAGGAGAAGCAATGAGGTCTCCAACTATTACAGTTTTGCAATCTCTTTTCCCCTGTCACTTGATTAGCTTTTTCTTCAAGCATTTAGATGCTTTACTATTCAGTGCATGTACTATATTAAGTATTGACATTGTTCCATTATCTATGACACTTTTAAGCAGAATGTAGTATCCCTGCTTATCTCTTTTGAATAGCAATATTTATGCTACTCCTGCTTGTGTAATGTGTCTGAGGCATAAGAAATTCTGCTGCAACTCATTTGAATTCTGCATGAATCTTTATGTTCCAAATGTGTTTCTTGTAAACAATGTATCATTGTATTCCGCTTTCTTAACTGTTCTTCTACTCTCTATTTAATCGATGAGTTCAACTCAATCACAGTTCTTATTATTAATATTAATTACTATTATATATTATTACTTAATATTACTATTAATAGCCAGCAAATTTCCTTATAATTTTTCCCTCTCTTTTCCCTCACTTCTCTTTGGGGAAAGAAAAGCAATAGGATCCATATTAGTAATCTATAAATGAGGCAGTCTGATCCCTTTTCTCTGCCTCCCTTCTCTTCATCCCGCCAAGATAACAATGACCGATTCTTACACTTTCAGTCTCCGCTCTGTGGTGCACATTTCAAAGCTGCAGTTTATTTTGCTTGCGAACTTTTTCATTCCCAACCCTACCTTTCCTCTCAAACACTGTCCTTCCCATTCCCTGTTGAATTGAATGTATTTCTAAAACTGTGTGTGTGTGTGTGTGCACGTGTGTGTGTGCATGAGTGTATGTGCGTTTTCAACCCTCCTTCATCCAGTTCAGCTAAGACTGAGACTCATGAGATGCCAGATCCTCTCCCACTCTCCTCTGTGTGTGTATGTGTGTGTATATATATATATATATATATATATATATATATATATATGTATATATATATATGTATATATATATATGTGTGTGTGTTTGTGTGTGTATGTGTATATATACATATATATATGCTAGTCTTCTGTACTCCAATCATGAGAAATAATAATTTCCTTCCCTTCTTCATTTTCTTCTCTAGTGTATTCTATGTTCTCTTCCTTTTTTCCCCTCTTTTAAAAGAAAACAAAACAAAAAAAGGAGCAGAGCCACCCCCAGATCCTGTGTTTGCCTTTACTCCTTCTGTGACTCTTGAAGACAGTGGGATTCTGAAGGGACCCAAGTACCTTCTCCCTCTATTAGAAGGTAAACACTTAATCATCATTTAACCTCTTCCAAATGCTCAAACATATTTACATTTCCAGGTTTCTCTTATCTCCTGTGTTTTCATTTCAAAGATTCTTTCTAGCTCTGGTCCTTTCATCAGGAATGCTTGAAAGTACTTTTCTATTAACAGACGCATCATCCCCTGTAGGATTATACCAAGTTTTGCAGGGCTAATTATTCTTAGTTGTGCCAAGAACTGTTACAATTGCTTATTACCATCATGCTTGGGTGTTATTATTAACTTCGCATTCACAGCACATTCTTGATCTTTTTCTTTTGCCTTTTGGGGTATAATACTGCAAGATCTTTTCTCTGTTAGAGGTGGTAGATGCCAGGTCCTATGTGATCCTGACTGTGGTTCTTTGGTATATGAACCTGGCTATTTGTTGTATTTTTACTTGGACCTAGAAACTCTGAAGTTTCGCTGACATTCATGGATATTCTCAATTTGAGTTTTTTGATGGGTTTTTTTTTCCAGGAGATGACTGGTGGATTCTTTCTATTTAATTTGCCCTCTGATTCCAACAGATCTGGGCAGCTTTCTTTTATCATTTCTTAAAATACGGTATCCATGTTTTCTGTTTGGTGATGATTTTCAGGAAGGCCAGTGATTCTTAAATTATCTCTCCTTGACTGTTTTCTGTATCAGTTGTTTTTGATACAAATACCTTCTATGTTCTAATTTTGCTTTTGTTCAAACTGCCTTAGTTGACACATTGGCTAGCTTTACTGAACTGCCTTTTCCTCCCTCTCTTTCTTCTTTGATCTCTGTTGTAAAGGGTCACTTTCCACAAAGGGGAAGGAGGGTCTTATTCAGAAATTAAGGTGATGTAATAAACAGAGCATGTTTTTCTTCTTTATTGGACTTAGGATTCCATCAGTTCCAAGAGCTTGTGGAAAAGATATTTCTATGTCAATGCAGACTGGCAGCTACAAGTGCCTGATACTCTTAGTTTTAAAAGGTGAGTCACAAAGGCAGGATATGAACCTAGGTCTTCCTAACTCCTGGTCCATCTTTCCATCCACTACTGCCTCCCCAACAAAAAATGTCGATCAAAATTAAAAAGAAAATAACTTGGTTTCTAGTTGACTAATCCGATTCTCATGGTTTCTCCCATCCATTCCCTTCCTTCCAGCACAGGGACACCAACCTAGTTCAGACCCTCATCATACCTCACCTGGATGCTTGTAATTGCCTCCTAATTGGTTTTAAGTCTCTCCCTTTTCCAATCCATAGCTGCCAAAGTGATCTTCTTAAATCACGAGTCTCACTCAGTCACTATCCTACTCCATAAGTTCCAGAGGCCCCTTATTACCTCTCAAATCAAACGCCTCCTTCTCAGCATTTAAGGTCCTTTACAACATGGTTCCAATTTGCCATCCCAGGCTTCAATAAAACCTCCTGAAATGTGGACTCTCAAAATTCAAGAGCTTATTTTCAAACTTCATTCACAACATACTCTAACGGAATACAAAGGAGACTTCAACAATGAAAATGCCTCTGGCAAATCCTTTAAGATGGTCATGTAAGAGAAAGTCATATTCCAAAAACCAGACTTCAAGACAGAATTCGAGTCTGCATTTCATTGAAAGTACTTTAATCAATGTTGTGAGCCTGCTTTAGTAGTGAAACAGGAAATAAATATCACTAAAATGGGCATGTCTCAATTATATCACTAAAAAGGACAGTTTTACAGTGTTCATGCCTCTGAGGCAGCTTGGGGTTTAGATGTGGCCGCCCAGATTCTCGTGGTGCCAAGACAAAAGGCAAAATCATTTACTTGAAAGACCATACCCACATTTGTACTTTGAAGCATCAGATGAAGAAATTAAGTTGGGTTGTAATTTGCTGTAATGAAAAGAACATAGAGCAAGGTACAGAGCTGATTCCAGTTATGCAACCTTGGGAGTCTGAGGGCGGGGAAAGGGCAGAGAAAGGAAGAAGCATTCATATGATACCTGCTATGTGCCAGGCACTGTGCTAAGTACCTGTTATAAATATCTCATTTGATCCCTGCAACAACCCTATAAAGTAGGTGCTATTATGACCTCCATTTTACAGTTGAGGAAACTGAGGCAAACAGAGGTTAAGTGACTTGCCCAGGGACATGCTGCTACAATGACTGAGGCAGAATCTGAACTTGGACTTCCAGACTTGGACCAGGGCTATATGCACTACACCATCTACTTGCCTTGGGCATCTAACAATCCCTCTGAATCTCAACTGCTTCATCTGTAAAACAGGCATAAAATACTTAAGAGTACCTACTTCATTGGGTTGTGAGAAGAGAATTTTGCCAATCTTAAAAGTGCTATCCAAAAATGAACTATTATTATGAAATTACTTGCCTTAAACACACCTTCCAGACAGCGGCTGAGTTCTTCCTCCTTTACCACGATGGTTCCTGGAGGTAATTCCCGCTCTGATAATACCTCTAGGGAACATAAAATGGGGAAACAAAGACTTCATAACTCGTTAATTAAGACTTCTCGACAAAAGCAATTCCAAACAGTAGCCCAGTTTTTGAAATAACACAAGAACATAAATTACTGGGGGAACGCCCTGCTGGTTGATAAGAAGTAATTGTTAAGAAGACTGCAAAGTCATTTAATAGAAAGAGGTTAGGACCATCCACATGGATAAGTGACTTGAATATAAAAGGTCATAATACATAGCATTAAAAAAAAACCCAGAGTGCAAGATTAGGCGCCTCTCAGAGCTACAGACAGAATTCTTAACCAAACAAGGTATAAAGGACTATCATTCTCATGTTCTTCCTCCCAAACCCAATCTTCTTCTGAACAATCCTCCCAAGAGAACACCGCTGCAGGGTCTAAGAATTGCTTTTGGTTTTGTCTTCCCAGACCCAGCATGGCACCTGACCCAGAGGGGGCACCTAAGTGCTTGCTGATTCACTGAGACCACCAAACACACAAGAGACCATTTCAGCTACTGCAAGTTAAAAAGTTCTTACATTAATGTCTCTGATAAAAGTCTGACATCTAAGCTATAAAGGGAGTTGACATAAACACAGTAAGACCAAGAACTATTTCCCAATAAATAGGTGATCAAAAGATATGAACGGTTTTGAAATTTGCAAAAGGATCATGTTAAAAACAGGCTCCAAGTCACTAATAAAAAGAGAAATGCAAATTAAAACAACATGAGGTTTCACCTCGCACTCTTCAAATTGGCAAAGATGCCTAAAAAGCCCCATCAACAGTCATGGTGGAGAAGCTGTAGGAAACTGGTGCCTTAACACAATGTGGGGAGAGCAAAGAACTGGTCTAACCGCTCTGGAGTTTGATCTGGAATTATGCAAGAAAAGCAACTAAGCTGTTTCATACGCTCTGACCCCGAGATCCCACTTGCAGGCATAAACACCAAAGAAGTGAAAAACATAAAGGTCCAGTACAGACCAACATAATCATAGCAGCACATTTAAGCAGTAGCAAAGAACTGGAAATAAACTGAGATTCCACTGACACGGAAATCATTACACAAAATACGGTCTGTGATTGTAATGGAATATTATAGTGTGATAAGAGATGGGGAATATGATAATTCAGAGAAAGATGGGGAAGACAAATACGAAGTGATACAGAGTGAAATGAGCTGAATCAGAACAATGCTCACACGGGCTACAGTCATGTAAATGAAAAGATCACTAAAAGGAACTGGACTGGGAAGAACTGAAAAACTATTATGGGCAAATATCTTTTGCCCCAAAGACCCATATATACAAAAATATTTATAGCAGTTCTTTCAGTAAAGAACTAGAAACAAAAAGGAGGCACATTAAATGGAGAATGGCTGAACAAAATTGTGCTATAGGAATGTAATACGTGTACCATAAGAAATGACAAAAGAGATGATTTCAGAGCAGCCTGGGAAGAAAATAAAGGAACTGATAAAGAGTGGAGTGAGCAGAACTGGGAGAACAATTTATCCAATAACAAGATTGTTATTAAAAAAAAAAAACTTTGAAAGATTCAGGAACGCTTATCAATACAATGACCAAGATTCCAGAGGCAGGGAAAGCAGGAAACAAGCATCTGTTAAATGCGTATTATACTGCCAGGTAGTGTACTAAGCACTTTACAAATATTGCATTTCATTACTATCTTCATGAGGACTGACCATGAAGCATGCTGCTCACGGCCTGCTTAACTCAACGCGTAAAATCACAGCTACATGTTGGGTGGCAACCATAAGGATCTGTTCTGCTCTGACAGTGCTTATTTTTTAATTTAATTTAATTTCTTTTAGCGAGGCGACTGGGGTTAAGTGACTTGCCCAGAGTCACACAGATAGTGTTATGTGTTTGAGGCTGGATTTGAACTCAGGTCCTCCTGACTCCAGTGCCGGTGCTCTATGCACTGGGCCACCTAGCTGCCCCAGACAGTGCTCATTTTTAACAAGGATCAAATTTTTCTTTTTTTTTTTATTTGAAGAAGAGTAAGGAGTTTAAAAATAAGTATGTATATCATATATGTGTGTCTATGTATGTATATGTGAGTGTATATATATGTGTGTGTGTGTGTACTATGAAGGGAAAATATTGCACATACTGTCAAATATAATCATGTATCAATTATTTTTGTTTAATATTATTCTTTGTTATAAGGGAGAGTTCAGTTCCAAGGGGCAGAGTTTGGAGTTGGAGGAAAGAACATTTTTGTTGTTATTCAGTCATGTCTGACTTTTTGTGACTGCATTTGGGGTTTTCTTGGCAGAGATATGGGAAGGGTTTGTCATTTCCTTCTCCAGCTCATTTTGCAAATGAGAAAACTGAGGCAAATGGAAATAAGTGACTTGCCCAAGGTCGCACAGCTAGTAAGTGTCTGAGGCCAGATTTGAACCCAGGACAATCAGTCTTCCTGACTTCAGGCCCTATGTTCTATCCACTGTGCCACTTAGCTGATTTTAGACATTTCACTTCCTTTTAAAATACTGAAAATTCACATTTTTCACAAAGAAATTATACCCCATGTCTGAATTATTATAATTCTTTAATCAATGAGATATGACTGGTTTTACTGATCATCACTGTTAGGCTACAGATAACTTTGCAAAAGAAACTACTTCATCCAACTGAAATGTCAAACAGTTCCTTCTTTGAACCCACCTCTCCTTAGAGAAGCCCTCTCCCCAACACCAGGGCCCAGGGTGAAAAGGATATTCAATAGCAAGTAAACACATTTCCACAGAAAGAACAGAAGAGGAAAGTGACACCAAAGAAACTGTTTAATGGCCTCATGCTCTTAGGTGGGCTTTATGTGACTTATGTGAGATGGGTAAGGAGTGGAGCAAAGGCCCCCATCCAGAAGGATCCAGCATCAACAGAAAGTAAGAGGAGGAGGACAAGCCGGACAGACAGGAGCCTGCCCACCCAGGGCCAGGAAAGGGCTGAGGGTGGACCAAGAACTGATTTTTTTTATTGAAACTTTTTTTTGTTTTGCTTTTATACCATATATAGCTTCCAGAACAGAGAGAAGTAACTAAAAAAAGTTTAATTGTATGCTAATATATACTTTGCAATTACCTGCAAGCTTATTCTATAACTTGCAGGCTTTAAGTAGATTTCCTTCCACTGTACAAGTCAGAATGGTCAGACTCCCCTGGGGAGGATGTGTAGGATAAGGGACAGGGCCTGGGCTGGACTTGTAATGCAAACTCCCTCCATCAACGCAGCTTAGCATCTTCTCTACAACCTCAAGTCTTGAGGAGGTGCCCAAAACATCTCTGTAGGGTCATGGGACTTGCCCAGGGTCACACTGTCTATATATATCACTGCAGGGTTTTGAACCTCAGTCTCCCCAGTTTCAAAGTCAGCTCTCCATCCACAAGGACACTGCCTCTCAAAGAAATCAAATGTATGAAATGGACTTTAAAACCCTTAGGGAGCTTAAAAATCAATTTAATTCATTCTTGAACCACACCATGATAACTAATTTAAGTGATGCTTTAAGGTATACAAACTCTTTCTGCACAGGAGCCCAGTGGAGTAGGACAAGTATAATTACCTCTATTTTACATTTGTAAATTTGTTTGACTGACTCCAAGGCCACCGGAGAACATTCCCACCAAAGCTGGTGGACCCTCTAAAATCTACTCATGTGACTTCTTACTGTGCTTAGCCATAGGCTATGGAAAGCTGTGGCAACACATAGATTTCTACCTTGCAATATTAATACTCAACATATACCCCAAAAGGCCAAAGACAGAGGAAAGATCCCATAATACTGATAAATATTCACAGCAGCACTTTCGGTAGTAGCAAAGAAGTGGGGAAAAAAATTAATGAAGTGGCCAAAAAAAAAGTAAGAGACAAATGTGATGGATTCTTCTTCTTCTTCTCTAAGGAATGCTGAATATGAAGAATTGGGATAAACTTGGGAAGTTTTATAAGCAGAGGGATGTAAGAAAAAGCAGAATAATTTACACAATGAACAAGTGCATGGCACTCTAATCAGTGCGGTGACCAGCTGTGACCACAGAGGACTGACAATGAAATGTGCCTTCCACCTCTTAGCACAGGGACAGATGTGGTCAGTGTGTTTCTTTGCTTTCCCTCACTGGACTTCTTTGTGACAAATAAGGATTCTATTTGGAGAAGGCAGCAGGAACGGATAGTGATTTTTAAGAAATGTATACAAAAAACCATTTTATTCAAAAAAGAGCAAGCTGTGAGGGGCAACTCCCAAGGTTGCGTTGTAAGACGAGATACAATAGGAATGACTAGTCACTTTCTCCTAGCTGGATAGCCACATCATGGGTCCTTTACCTGCTGTACTTGAACATCGATGACTGGCTCCAACATTGGCTGAAGCAAGTGTTTTGTGGCCAATTGAGGGTGTTCTCTTGTCATGGTCAAGAAGGTAGTGGTGGCAACTCTCTGAAACTGCCGAGCTACCAATTTATCCTGAATATGCAATAAATCTAGAATCTAGAAGGGGAAAAGAGAGGCATCATATAAAGCACTGAAAAATTCCAGATCTTCAACCTGATAGAGCCTTTGAATAACCAATGGCCAATCGACGGCTACAGGTGTCACAAAAAGACCGTTAATAAATTTTTAAGCACCCAAGCTATTTTAGTTGTTAGCCACTGTTTAGAAATTGCTAGCTTTATCTTCATTTTCATGTATATAATTCATGTATATACATTACATGTATATAATTCATACATTTATAAATTTGCATCAGGGTTTTCAATTTTGTCTGTAAGCCTACTCTTCAGTAGCTGGGAACCCTGAAGAACAGAGCAGCCCGAGAGCAGAGCTTCCTGTACGAGGAATTCCAACTGACAGGTCACTGCAGAGCCTTATGACTACTCAAGCTCATGCAGCGATAGCTAGGCTGTAAGATGATCATTCCATCTACTGAAATGAAATTTTAATCTCTACATTCAAAAGATCAGGAATAAGATGATAACTTCCATTTGACATTCCAACCCCGAAGAAAGACTAATCAGTCCTTCAAGTATGCCTCACTGTGAGTTCTCATCTAATGACCAACCTCCCTGAGGAAGCCATCAGACCCCAAAAGAGAGTGAGTGCCCTTTCACAACAGACTAAAGTACTATCCTCCTTTTCTCCCCTACTCCCTTCAGAAGATGCTCTGGGATGCTCAAAGCTCCTTTCACGAAGAGTAGAGAGCCTCCAGGAGGTAAAAGGCAATAATGACTTACCTGAGGGCAGATTTGCTGATAGTAATCTTCTAAGGAAAGGGACTGTTGGGGGCAAGAGGCCAGAATCTTAGCAACCATGTCACACTTCCTCCAGTCCGCAGCAGCTGCTTCGGCACCAGCACCACCAGCTGCTCCAGCTGTTCCCAATGGATGAAAACATCAGATCAACTCGAGGAATGTACTTAAGACCAAAGAGGGGGAAGAAGAGGACTCTGTTCCTCGACCATTTATAAAAGCATAGAATTTGTGTGCCTCACGCAACCTAATGCAATGCATGCCAACACTGACCTTTTCCTATTTTGTTGACCACTCACCCGCCCCAGACGCACAACAGCAGAACAGCAATACATTTCCAGCTACTGAATTTTGTGAGTCCTACCCACTTTTGTCACATGCAGAACTAGTCCCATGAGGTCTCTCTTATCTAACACTGAAGAGTTTTTAAAAATCATCAAAAAGTTAATGGCTCAACAAAGTATTTAATTTCCACCCATCAAAAATAAAGTAACCAAGGAGATTAGTAGAATACATATATTCACTCAGAAGTTTGAGAACAAAACAGCATCTTATAGGAATCTTCAAGATTCCAAACTTAAAAAGACACATTCCTAAAAGACTTAAAAAGAACTGTTTCTTTAGTCACGAAGTAACATCATCTTTAGCACCCTTGCACAAATAAAGTTCTTTTTCATAAAGAATTTCACAATTCCTTTGGCATTATGCCCTGGAATGTCTGTGTAACGAATTGCTCTGGTATTGTAAATTATTAATATCGCTCATCTATTGTTCAGCAACTATAAGGAGTAGATACTGCCCTTTTCTTATGTGGACATTTGTATAAGGCAGAGAAAAGCAGCCTGAGGGGAAAAACAAACAGTTCTGATGCTCTGCAGTTGACACAGGGAACTGATAGGACTGAAAGAAAGATATGATGCTGAGAGCTGATTAAAGAACTTAGTCTTCTATGCTATTTGAAGAGCTGGCTGGAGAACAGCTAACTTACTCTCTAGCACCATCTAGAGCTTGAAGAAGGAGAAACTTCTCCAAGGCTTGCTTTATTGCTCTCTAAGGCTCAAAAGGAGAAAATCCCTTAGAACCTGCAGAAAGCATACCTGAATAACTTGGTAGATCCCCAGTTTAAAGAGAACTGCTTTTCCCTAAAAGAATGTTGCACAAAGCTCTATAATTTATGAGCAGTGGTAGTAAACATGATGCAGTGGATAGAGAGCTGGGCTTAGAGTCAGGAAGACTCATCTTCCTACGTTCAAATCTGGCCTCAGACATTTACTAGCTGTGTGACCCTGGCCAAGTCACTTAACCCCATTTGCCTCAGTTTCCTCATCTGAAAAATGATCCGGAGAAGGAAATGGCAAGCCACTGTAGAATCTTTGCCAAGAAAACCCCAAATGGGGTCATGAAGAGTTAGACAGGACTGAAAAACAAGTAAACAACAACAGGAGTAAACATAATTATTAAAAGAATACAGTTTATAAACATTAGTTTCACATAAACTATCTCTGTTGAGTCTCACAACAATTTTGAGAAATAGGGCCAGAACTATTACTTCTCTTCTGTGGACAGCTTCAGAGAGGTTTGGTAGGTGACTTTATTCAGAGTAACACAGCTAAGAGGTGGCAAAGCTGAGAATCAAATCCAGATTTATTACCACTACAACCATGTGCCCAAAATAGATTACATCTACGATTACTTTAGATTAATAGTAGAAAGATGAGTTATTATGAATAGGAACTCTTTTTTTTTTGCCTTCATCTCAACCTGTGATTTCTTCAGCGTGGAGAACTCCCGATGTACAAAAATACCTTTACCCACAGATCAACCATCTATAATCAAGCCCTCTGCCTATTTTTGGATTGCCTGAGCTAAGAACGGTTGTTACTTTTTAAAATAAAGTTTTATTGTATCTACAATAACAGGCAGGCTGTGGTCTGCCTCCTCCTGCTTACAGACTTGGAAAACTGCCTGGGACACTGGTCACACAGACAGTAGATGTGTGTCAAGGACACGACAAATCCCTACCCACAAAGTAAGCTGACTGTTTCAGTTGGTTTTCTTGCACTTAATCTAAGACAAATGCTGAAAGACTCATGATCTATCCTAAATGTGAACTCAAAAGAAAATGAATGCAGAATGGAAATATCTGATTTCTTACCACCGGCTCCTTCCAGGATGCCCTGGACCACAGCCTGAACGCCGTGGGGTCTCATCAACCTTTCTGAAAGCAGCTGTCCACAAAGACGTCGGAGCCAGGCTGGGGCCCGGGCACTTGTCTGTGTTTTCATATCTGAGCCTGTCTGAAGGAATGGGGGACACGGCTTTAGGATGTCATAAAAATAATAGTGAGACGTGAAACTTGGAAAATACTGCACTGTATCTTAACACAGAAAGATGAGATGTGTAAGCTGTCCCAAAAGTCTTCATGCAGCCGTCGGCCTCCATAGCTTTAAATGTCTCAAGCTGCATGAAGACTTCGGGGACACTTTGTAAAGCAAGTAAAGCAACATCTTTTTCTGAAAACAAAAACAAAAAAGCCCTTTACAGAAATTAGTGAAAGCTCCTCTTTCCTTCTTTAAGGACATGAATGGGCAGTTTTCTTAGGAAGAAATCCAAAGTATCAATAACCATATGGAAAAATGCTCTAAACCACTAATGATTAGAAAACTAAAATTAAAGCAACTCTGAGGTTCCACCTCACACTCGTCAGACTAGCAAAGATGATGAAAAAAGAAAACAATAAAAGTTGTAAGGGCTTCAGGAAAACAGCGACCTTCACGCACTGTTCACAGAGCTGTGAACTGGTCAATCCATTCTGGAAAGCAATTTGGAACTCTGCCCAAAAAGTGAGTGATCTGTAGCAATATTCTGACTCACCGATATCTTTACTAGGCCCATACCCCAAAAAGGGCAAAGAGGAAAAGGATTACGTTATACAAAGGTATTTGTAGGAGCTCTTTTTGTGCTAGCAAAGAATTGGAAACTGAGGGGATGTCTATCAACTAGGGAATGGCTGGAAAAGTTATAGTACCTGAATGTTTTGGAAGATAATTGTCCTGTAAGAAATGATGAAAAGGGAGCGTTTCAGAGAAACCTGGGAAGCATGAGCTGACGCAGGGTGAAGTGAGGAGAACCAGGAGAAAAATTTAGATCATAACAACAACACTATAAAGACAGCTCTGAATGGCTTAAGAGCATGGATCTGTTTAACAATTTATAATTTAGTGGAGATGCCGTACCCTTCGAGGTCACTTAATGATATTTATTTAACTTGTTTCAACAAGGAGCAAGGGACAGGAAACTTGAAACTAATTAAAGTGGAATCTTCTTTTAGACGAATAATAATGGGGTTGTGGTTAAGAGAACTTTTCCCAAGGGAATAGCAGGACCATTTTTTTAAAGACTTATTGATAAGAAGCATGCTATCTTTATTTTTCAATTTTTTTTTCTACTGGGGGGAACAAGAAAAAAGATATTTTTAATAATTTAAAATTAAAATTTTTTTAAAAAAAGAACTTTATCAACATCAGTTGTCTCATTTTCCATCTTCAATAAAACACAGAACCTTGGCCATACCAAGTAATGGAAATATCAAATCCAGAAGTAGATCATTTTCTGGGCAAAACCCTAACACCCACCACTCCAATTGCACTCACCTAGCTAAACATATCAATATATTTAGGAACTAAAAACAAAGAGTACTAACCAACTGCAATATCCTTCCCTTAAATAATATAGTAACAAAAGAATATTTTTACAGAACTCAGAAATCAATAAGAAAAATATCTTAGGCTTAGCAGGACCCTTCTTAAACTTGGGACTATTTGGTTCATGATGAGAAGTGTATTTTTAATTACCTGATTTTAATGCAGCCAAATTCCCCATTAGACTGATATCCCCAAAATGCTTCCAGCAAAGAATTATTCTTTTTTGTGTGTGATTTTTTTTGGGGGGGCTGGGCAATGGGGTTAAGTGACTTGCCCAGGGTCACACAGCTAGTAAGCGTTATGTGTCTGAGGACGGATTTGAACTCAGGACCTCCTGAATCCAGGGCCGGTGCTCTATCCACTGTGCCACCTAGCTGCCCCCAAAGAATTATTCTTTGAAAATATCTTAACTCTTTGTGAAACGATGATCTAGTTTCAGTGAGAATTAGATTTTAAATAAAAATCTTATCAATAAGTCTTTTAAAAAATGGTCCTGCTATTCCCTTGGGAAAAGTTCTCTTAACCACAACCCCGTCATTATTCGTCTAAAAGAAGATTCCACTTTAATTAGTTTCAAGTTTCCTGTCCCTTGCTCCTTGTTGGAACAAGTTAAATAAATATCAAGTGACCTTGAAGGGTACAGCATCTCCACTAAATTATAAATTGTTAAACAGAGTACTCCAATCATCCCATCTCCTGTTAATCACCAGGGAAAAGGCACAGCACGAGTCCCCATTAATGTAATTCTCCCAGGCTACAGTCTAAGCACCTGTTGAGGTCCTCCCTGGAGGATAATCAGCTCCCGAACAACCAGGGGTTGGTAGACTTGATCTAAAATGCTCCGCAAGGCTTTTCTGGCCCGGGTCCTCTCTTCTTCCTTTAGACCCTAAAAAACAAAAGTCAAGGTTTTCAAAACAAAATATTCACATTCACTACTCTCGGGCGAGACTACTAGAGAATAAACGACCATGGCCTGCAATGAGGTGATGTCTCCCCCTAGTGTATTACTGACCTCACAACATGGTCAAGCAGCAAGTTTCAGGTCCATGATACCACCGGCGATTGTGGCCTTCTAGCCACCCAGGAGGGGTCCCACCTGAGGCACTCCCCATGGGCACTCTCTGCTTCTCCTTTCCTACCCTTCTCCCTCCCCTCCTTCCCTGGGGGAAGGCAGGCTCTCGCCTTGACCCTGCCCCTTTCCTCCACTGGGGCACTCAACCCTGACCAGGGAGGTCCTCTATGCTCTGGGAAGCATAGGCAGGAGGGGAGGCCTCCTGATTAAGGCAAGGTTTTCAAAATCAGCTGCCAACAGAACTGAGGACGGGCCTTAGCTCTGCAAAGCTTTAATGAGACAGAGCCATTAACCGTCATAAATGTCCCTCATGAATTGTCAGAAGGCAGTTTTATGATGGAAATGTATCTTAGCTAAATGCCTAAGAGTAAGAACACAGCCTGAGGCCAGCACTAGTAGGCAGCAGGAGTAGACTCCTGCTTTTAGATTTTTCAGACTGGCAAGTTCATTCACATAGCAGCAAGGCACTGGACTCTGAGTCAGAAAGACTCGAGTTCAAATTCTGTCTTAAGACACTACTAGCTGTATGACCCTCGGCGAGTAATTTAACCTAATTTAGCTTTTGTCTCCCCAGCTATAAAATAGGGGTGATAATAACAGCACCCACCTTACAGTGTGGTTGTAAGGCTCAAATGAGATAACCTTCTGTGAAACACTTTGTGAGCCTTAAAACACTATATAAATAGAGCTAATATCATATACATTTACTTCTAAATTTTAAGTAAGTTTAAAGTTCTATGCAGGCATAATAGTATATTTGGTATAATAGTATATTTAAGAATAGATTAAGGGGCAGCTAGGTGGAACAGTGGAGCACTGGCCCTGGATTCAGGAGGATGTGAGTTCAAATCCGGCCTCAGACACATAACACTTACTAGCTGTGTGACCCTGGGCAAGTCACTTAACCCCATTGCCTAACCAAAAAAAAAAAAAAAAGAACAGATTAAAATCAGGCTTAAAATTTTTAATTTTAAAAAATGGCACTGTTTGATGTGTGTGTATGTACCTTCTCTTGGTAAATAGATTGTAAGCTATTTAAGAGTACAAACAATAGCTTACACCAGGGGTAGGGAACCTTTGGCCTCCAGGCCACATGTAGCCCTCTAGGTCCTCAAGTTCGGCCTTTTCAAGGGCAGTAGATAGAGCTCCAGCCTTGGAGTCAGGAGGACTTGAGTTCAAATCTGGCCTCAGACACATGACACTTACTAGCTGTATGACCCTGGGCAAGTCACTTAACTCTGATTGCCTCACTAAAAAAAAAAAGCGAAACAAAAAAAGCTATTTCAGGATTATGGAACAATTATATATTCACTGTTTGTGTCATGCCTGTCAGAATTGTGGATTTTGTGTCCCCAACCTAAGCTAGAGATACACAGAGAAGGCTGAGAAGCCACAAGAAAAGCTGATCATATAAGCAAGACACAGAAACCAGAAGATGGAAGACCAGACACACTGCGCAATGGAACCGAGAAGCTGACAGAAGCTGAGCACAGATGAGACTGGATGACTAGAGTCAGACTTTGGTGCTGGGAGCTGATTAGAGAAAGCAGCATCCTGGTGCAGGTGGAAGAGCTGGACAAGGAAAGGCAGACTTGCTCCCTAGCACCCTTCTGAACTTGAGAGAGGAAGAAATAACTCAAAGTCCACAGACAATAGAGTCTGGAGTTTCCAGGTTTAAAGGAAACTACTTTTCACTTAAAGATGGTCACACTGCTTCTATACTAAGCCAGGGTAGAGCCTGGGGAAGCTCTGTAGATGTCAGGCTTAATGCTCCTGTTAGCTAAAGAAGCCTAACACTGCATCAGCTCCCCAGGGGTTGCAGAGAGGTGGCTGTGTCCAGCAGAAGAACAAAGAGGCTCAGAGGAGGAGCAGCAGTGCAGACCGTCCCCTAAAGAGATGACAGCCAGCCAGTGCAGAGTCACAAGCGACCCACAGCCGCATGGACTTCTCCACTCCCAGGCCTCACTGCTAGCTTTCTATGCGTTTGTATCCACTCTCTAGCCCAAAAACATTGTGTGAATTGGTGGAAGAATATGACTCAGGTCTACGGTGAACTGTCATGTTTTTATTATTATCAATTCTCTTCTATTTAGTAAATGTTATCGTAAGATTTTCCTTGATTTTGCCTTCTCATTTACTAAACGTTTCATGATGAAGAGTTAATGCCTCTCCAAAGGTCATGATGGAAAATGCTATCCACATCCAAAGAAAGAACTGTGGAGTTTGAATGCAGATCGAAGCATGCTATTTGTTATTTTTTTACTTCTATTTTGTTTTGTTTCCTCTTTCTGGTGGTTCTCCTGTTGGTTCTAATTCTTCCTTATAACATCACTAATGTGAAAATATGTCTGATAGGAATATATATGTATAGCCTATACCACATTGCCTGATATCTTGGAGAGGGGGGTAGGGGAGAAAAATGTAAAACTCAAAAGCTTATGGAAGTGATTGTTGATAAATCAAAATAAATTAATTTTTTTTTAAAAAAGGAACACTAAAAAAAAAAGTTAATGCCATCATTGTGACTGATTTGTATAAATGGAAAGCACATCAGTGGGGCTCATTCAGTATCATTGTATGTCCCCCACTCCAGGGTTACTCCCACAACTCTGAGTATGATGGCCATGGCTGGTCTCCCTCTCAGAACACCCCCAGACCTGCCAACAAGGGTACTAGTTGGGGTAAGTGAGAGAAGGTGACTCTGGGTGCCATGTTGGCACTATTCCTAGCCACATACACACACACACACACACACACACACACACACGTTCTTTATAAACTCACTTCTTGCAAAGGCTTTGCTGGTTCATCTTTCCCTTTCATGGGGCAGAATCCTAGCTGGCACAGCCCCGCTGCAATGTCTCCAAAATGGCGACCAAGAATCAGACTGCCCAGGGACATGTGTTTTGCAATATCCAGCAGTACGATGCAACTCGTGTACAGTCTATGAATCGCCCCGGGCGCCACAGCAAAAGAGACGACATCTTGAATCACAGCACCAAACTCTGTCCGGCATCGCAGGGGTATTCCAACACCAGGCAGAAGAAAGGGACAAATGCCCAAGGTAACCACAAACTGCAAAGCTGACTGAACGGTCTTCTGCTGAGAGACGCTGAGCGTATCAGGACTTAGGGCAGGAGGGGCTTCTGCAGTTCTAGGATTTGGCTTGGGTGGGTGGAAGCTAGCTGCCAGCAGGACCATGCTTTCTTTCAGACACAACAGCAGCACTAAAAGCTGAGAAGTAAAACTCCAGGTGACGTCCAGAGAGCTCAGTGGCCATTCTGCCCTCATAGCGATTTCACCCCACAAGCTCTTCAGTTCCTTCCACTGAGGATCCTCCTCAAACTTTCTGTCCAAAGCTGACAAGTTAGATTTTAAAGTATCCAACAGAACATCGTGTTTTGTGATCTGCAGTGAACTGGAATCTGATCCTTTAAAAGAAGAGGAAAAGAAAAAAGGAAAATTAGACGTGGAGCAGAAGACTGCAGACCATAGAAGAAATATACAGACATTACTTTTATAAGATCCAAGATTAAGAAGACGTTGGGCACAGGGGGGACTAATTTAACACCACTAAAAACAAAACAAAACAAAACAAAAACAAAAACAACGAAAAACTAAAGTTTTTCATGGCCCACAAAGAAAACTCAACATTAAAATGAGTTTTTCTGCCCTCTGCTGGTAATAGAAGATGAAAATCTGGTTGAATTTAAACAGGTATTCCTATAATGGGTAGCAATCTTCACCTTTTAGCATCAGGAGATTAAAGAGCTGGAAAGAACCTTAGAAATTATCTCATCCAGTCATGTCATTCTACAACTGAGGAAACTGAGGCCCAGAGCAGTGAAACAATTTGCTCTAGGTCACAAAAAAATGGAGCCATGAGGATGAGACAATTCTTTAAGTATATATATCTGGTGACCAAATAGCAGGTTTCCTGGCAGAGCAGATTGGGGAAAAACAAAAACTCATAAAGTTAGGAATCGTTATGGAACATTATTATTTATAGATGATGTAGGATGCTATTATGAGACATTAATTAAAAATGATAGCCAATATAAGAAATGATGAGGCAGATATTTTCAGAAAAACCTGGGAAGACTTACACAAACTGATGCAAAGTGAAATGAGCAGAACCAGAAAACATGATACACATTAATGCAATATTATACAATGATCGACTATAAAAGACCTAGTTACTCTGATCAATATAATGATCCAAGACAATTCCATGGACTTATCTACCTCCAGAGAAAGAAGTGATGGAGTCTGAATGAAGATTGAAGCATACTTTAAAAGAACTTTCTTTATTATTCTTGGGTCTTTTGGCCTTCATTTTCTTTCACAATATGGAAATGTTCTGCATGACTACACATGTATAATCTACATCAAATTGCCTGCCTAGTCAGGAAGGGAAGAGAGGAGGGAGGGAATCTGGAACTCAAAATTTAAAAAAAAAATGTTAAAAATGTCTGTTTACATGTAATTGGGAAGAAAATAAATGAATGTTAAAAATAAATAAAATATAATTATAAAAAAAGAATGATAGCCAAATTGGGGGTGAATCGCTATTTACTTTGCAGCTTCTTGGGGAAGACTGTTACATAAACATATCAGATTTCCACAAACACGCCACTGAAATGTCTGAACATCTTTAGATTCCACTTAACACAATCCAGAGAAACCAATTCTTTGAGCATAAAACAGTTTTTCATCTTTGCCTTTATGGATGAGAGTCATGGAAAGGGGAAGAAAGAGAAGAATACTAAGATGCAGTTGAATCTCCAGTAGAATGTTAAGCTGCTTAAGTACAGGAATGGTTTAGGTTTTGTCTTTATATTCACAGCCCCCAGCCCAGTGCCAACTGCACAGAGACCCCCACCCCCAACTTGAGGCAGCTAGGTGGCACCATATGACATAGAGTACCTGGTCTGGAGTCAGGAAGACTCATCTTCCTGGGTTCAAATGTGGCCTCAGACACTCACAAGCTGTGTGCTCTGGGCAACTCACTTAACCCTGTTTGCCTCAGTTTCCTCATCTGTAAAATGAGCTGGAGAAGGAAATGGCAAACTGCTCCAGTATCTTTGCCAAGAAAATTCCAAATGGGGTCATGAAGAGTTGGACACAACTGAAACAACAGGACAAACCCCTCCCCCTTCTCTGACTATTCCTTTTGTCACCTACAACAGCATTACCCTTCCTACTCCCACTCCCTAAAAGAGGGCAAACACCAAGGTTCTGTTCTCAACCATTTGTTTCGGTCTATATTAACTCTTTCCTTTAGGAGATCTCATGGCTTTAACCACATTTTCCAACTACAAAATGAGGGTCATGGCCTTAGAATTTAGAGCTGAAAACAGACTTCAGAGAGCAGTCAAACTCCCTCATTTACAGGGAAGAAATCTGGGGCCCAATTGAGAGGATGCCCATCCACTGGGGAGTGGCTGAGCAAGTTGTGGTCTATGAATGTAATGGAATCCTACTGTGCTCTAAGAAATGATGAGCAGGAGCACTTCAGAAAAACCTGGAAAGAGTTGTATGGTCTGATGCTGAGTGAAGAGAGCAGAACTAGGAGACTGTTGTACACAGTAACAGCCACGTTGTATGATGACTAATGTTGATAGACTTAGCCCTTCTCAGCAATGCAAGGACCTACGACATCTCCAAAGGTCTCTTGATGGAAAATGCTCTCCACATCCAGAGAAAGAACTACGGGAGTCTGAATGCAGATGAAGCATACCATTTGCTATTTTTTTTCTTCTGTTGTGTTTTGTTTCCTCTTTATGGTGATTCCTCCTATTGGTTCTAATTCTTCCTTACAACATCACTAATGTGAAAATATGTTTAATAGGAATGTATATGTATAACCTATATAAGACTGCATGCCGTCTTGCGGAGGGAGGTGGAGAAAAATTTAAAACTCAAAGGCTTATGGAAGTGATTGTTGATAATTCAAAATAAATTAATTAAAAAAACAACTGAGGCCCAGAGAGGTTAATGAGGGTTGGAGAGATGATTTCTAAGGTCCTTTCCAAGCCTAAAAGCCTATATAACTATCACCTCCTTGCAGAGAATTCCCAAACCACTGTCTCGAGTCCTGATTTCCTTCTTGAATTCCATTCCCCACCCTCTAACTGCCTGCTAGACATTTCCACTTTGACATGCTTGTCATTATCTCCAATTCAACCTGCCTAAAACGAACCGTCCTTCTCCTCTAAATGAGGCCCCCTCCCCTATTTCAGTCAACGATGCCACCATTATCCCAGCCTCTATACATGACATCTTCGATTCCTCCGTCTACTCTGTATGAGTGAATGTTGAAAACTAAAGATAAGTAAATAATTTTTAAAAAGCAAAAAGGTAATATTCAGCAAATAACTAGAAATACAACAAAAAATAATATGATATGTGGTTTTCTAAGTCAACATGTGGCCTGCAGGGATCCCTGTGTATTTAGTGACCTCTTTCACTCTGACTCTGACACCATCAGCTTAGAGCATTTAGAGGTTAAATGACTGTCCTGTGTCACACAGCCAGTGTGTGTCACTGGCAAAACTACAACGTGGGTGTTAATGGTTGCATATAACACCCAATCCTTACCCACTATATACCAAACCTTCCTAAAACACTACTTTGATCATCACTTCCCCACTCAAAAACCTTCAATGGCTCCCCCTTGCCTACAAGAGAAAGTGTACATTAATAATAAGGTGTGGCATTCAATACCCCACTATTATACTTCAATCTAACCCATCCACCCTCCTCCCAAACCCTGTTCCCAAACCCTCCACCTCCACTAAACTGGTTTGCACTCAGTGCCCTTATTCAACAAAGATTAGTCAAGGCATGATTATTAAGTGCCTGCTGTGTGCCCGGCATTGTGCCAAGCACTGGGGATACAAATAAAAGCAAAAGACAATTCCTGCCCTCAGGAGGTTACAGTCTAAAATGGTGCCCCCCCCCCCAAGTGAACAATGAGGTGCAAACAAGTGATAAATAATACACAGGTGGAGGGAAGGCCCTGGAACGGAGGGGAACAGGGAAAGGCTTCTTGCTGAGAGCGGGCTCCTCCCTGGCCAGGTGCTGGGGGCACCAACACGAAGCTAAGACACTGTCCCTTCTCTCCAAGGGTATAAGACCAGAGGCCAGCAAAAGTGAGCATAACCCGAGAAGGGTGTGACGAGGGCAAAGCGGGAGAGGCAGGCTGAGGGGGATGATGGGAAGAGCCCTGCATCTGGCCTCGGAAGACCGACTTTCAGCCTACGCCCATCACTTCTCTCTCCCAACCTCAGTTTCCCCATCTGTAAAATCCAGGGGAATCAGATGAAAAGGTCCCTAAATCCCGCTCTGTGTAATCCAGTATCCTCTTGAAGCCTATTTCAAGCCCTCTTCCCTTATTTACTTCCTATTTTATCTGGTACCTAACCCGTTTAAACATATCTGTCTGTTGTCTCATTTGACTGTAAGCTCCTTGAGGGCAGGAATTATTTTCTGCCTTTTTTTTTTTTGCATCCCCAGAGCTCAGCACAGCGCCTGGCACACAGCAGGCACTTACTAAAATGCTGGCTGACTACTGTTGACTCTCCTCCCTCTGGGCCTCAGTTTCCTTTATCTGTGAAATGGGCGTGCTGAAGGGGTAGGCACTCTACGCTCCCATCTATAATGTATGATCTCATTCAGGGAGCAGGAATCGTTTTGTTCCCGGTATTCCTATTCCCACGCACCGGACAGCTGTCTAGGGCCACTGGCCGCAGAAAAAGTGCTAAGCTCTCTTGGGGAAGGGCGTTTCCTTCCCGGGAGCTCCCTGCCAAGAAGCCAGTTACAGACAAAATGGTGGATCTCATCACTGCCAGCAGTTACGTGCAAAGCCCTTTACAGTTATCATCTCACAACACCCTGGGAGGGAAGGGCTGTTAATATCCCCGTTTTACAGATGACGGAGCTGAGGCACACAGACGTTGGGTGACTTGCCCAGCGTCATACGGCTACTAAGTGTCTGAGGTAGCATGTGAACTCGGCTCTCCCCTGGCTCGCCCGCTCTGCGGGTGGTCCGTCGGTCCGAGAGGGGGCGACTCTGAACGGACTCTGCACGGACCCTCGCTTCCGCTCAGGGACGCCGGCTCGCAGCTCCAGCCGAGCCACGCGGGGTGGAGAGGGTGGCGGGGTTCGGGGAAGGGAGAAGGGGCAAGCGGCCCGGCCTGGGAGCGAGCGCCGCCCCGCGCGGGCCTCGTACCTCCGGGGCTTAGCAGAAGCTTCAGGGCCCCCACGATCCGCTCCAGCGCCACGGGCTCAGGCGCCCCCGGGGCCGCCATCACTGCAGCGGCGTTATGGCTCCCAGCAGGCCCTGCGCTTGCTAACGTAAGGGCCGGACGCCGGCGCCATGTTGAGTGAGGCCGCGCAGTTGGCTCGAGGGCGGGGCGGGGCCAGATTCCTGTTTTAACCGGAGGGTTCCGGCGCGGGTCGGTCAGCCACGCCCCTGGAAGGAGGAAACTGTCAATCACTGCTCTGCCTGAGCAGCCGCCCTGCAGGAGGAGGGAGAGGGAGGAGAAAGGGGAGAAAGACGGGGAGAAGGGGGAAAAAGGAAAGGGAGAAAGCGGGAAGAAGAAGGAGGGGGGCAAAGGACGGGGAGGAAGGGGGAGGGGAGGAGAAAGATGGGAAAGGGGAGTGTAAGGAAGAAGAGGGGAAGAAGGATGGGGAGGATTGGGAGGAGGAGGAGGAGGAAAGAATGAGGGGGAAGAAGGAGCAGGGAGAAGAAGGAGGAGAAAGGGGAGAAGGATGGGGAGGAGGAAGGGGAAGAAGGAAAAGGAGAAAAGAAGAAGAAGAAGGGGGAAGGACAGAGAGGAAGGGGGAGGGTAAGGAAGAGGAGGGGAAGAAGGATGGGGAGGACTGGGAGGAGGAGGAAAGGGAGAAGGAGGGGAGGAAGGATGGAGAGGGAAGGAGGAGGATGGAAAGGGAGGGGGAGGGACAGAAGAAGAATGGGAAGGAGAGGAGGAGGGGTCAGGGTCTTAGTTGCCTGAGGCACTGAAGTTAGGTGACTTTTCCAGGGTCACCCAGCCAGCAGGTGTCAGGGTTGAAACTTGAACCCAAGGTCTTCCTAATTCTATCCATTCTATCCATTGCCCCACCGGTTCTCTTTCATGGTTCTTTCCACATCTTTTGATTGATGGATTCTTTGATTTTTATAATTTCAAATTCTCTGAATCCTGTTGGCCAAACAGTCCTTGAGTGCTTCCTTCAGGCTGTGTGGCTTAGTCTATAGGGAGCTGGCCAGGAGTGGGACTGGTGTCACGTCTGTGATCCTGAGCAAACCTGTAATCTCTCTGTGTCCCAGGCAGCTAAGATTACAGATGGCTGAACAAGTACCAGCCCGTGTTGGTAGAGGGAGTTCCTCCCTGGGAATGCCCCATGGACATGAAATGGCGGCCAGTTAAAATAGCAGTAACAAAGAGCTGCCTCTGATGGTGCTGGTCCCTGGGCAAGTCCCCAGATCTCCTAGTTTGGGAGTGTACCCAGTTGTGTGATGCCCTCCAGCTCTGTTCCGTGGCTCAAGTGTAGGAGCAGGAGAGGCAGGTAGTGAAAATCATCAGGGCTTGGGCATCAGGAAGACCAGGGGTGCCCTCTCCATCATCACCCTTTTACTGAGAGAAACAGGCAGAGAAAGGAAGTGATTTGTCTAAGATTATAATCGATCAGGGCTGCTAAAGTGGCCAGACCCGAAAAGTCTACAAGACTCATCTTCTTGAGTTCAACTTCAGCCTTAGACACCTAGCTGTGTGCCCCTGGGCAAGTCACTTAACTCTGTAAAATGAGCCGGAGAAGGAAATGGCAAACCACTCCAGTATCTTTTCCAAGAAACCCCTCAGTGGGGTCATGAAGAGTCAAACATGACTAAACAACAACTAATCCACAAGCATTGATGAAGAGAGTAGAGTCCAAGGTAGCATTGAACTGGCTAGCCTTAGGGAGAGGTCATAGAAGCTAGAGCAGAGGTGATGGCCTGGGAGAGTACTTTGAAGTGGAGGGACTGGCGGTCACAGTGAGGAGGAAGGATAGGTTTAGGGGCAGTGAAACATAAGGAGAAAGGGAATGCAGGAAGATAAATATACCTCGGAATTCTGGACCATGGAAATGGAACATTTACTTGTGGTTGTCAACAAAGGGTCCCACTGTCCCTGTGTATAATTGAAGTGGATTGACTGTAGGAGTGAATTCTTTGCACTGAAGCTGACTAAGGAACTGAGAGATGAGCATGGGTGAGGGTGCATCAGCATGTGTTGACATCCCTAGAACAAAGGCAGATTAGCAGTGAAGAGGAGAACTGTGGGGCAGATACAGAACTCCTTGAGAAAGGAAGAACACCTTGGGGCCAGTGACTGACCCCAGGTAACAGCCCCCAGCACCTAGATTGGGTGATTTGTGTGGATAGAGTGAACCTCAAAATCGGCAATACCAAAGTGGAAGGTCTCTGACAGAGACAAGGGCAGCAGCCATGCAAGGGCGAGCATTCTGGAACAAGAAATGGGTTGGCATCAGAGACAGGGGCCCCTAGAGAGACGATCCTGCTTGGTGATTGATCACACTATGCTCAGCAGAGGTGACACGGAAACTGACTGGTTAGAAGCCTTGCAAAGACTGTGCCCCAGCTTGGCTTGAATACTAGCTTTGCAACTAAGTTGAGTAACAGTAAGTCATCAGATTCTGTTCTAATCATTCTGTGATTCTTGACTGCTTTGGATTCCCTTTCCTTCTGAAAATTAAAATGTGTTACGTTCCCAATTCACATTTGGATGTTGGTTACCTTGTTTACTTTCCCGCTTGCTGCAAGGGAGAGAATCTTAGACTTTGGGCCCATAACCATTGCTATAATCACCTAGTCCATGAGGAGCACTTTGCCTTGTAGTAGCCACAGGAGGGTGAAAGGCCAAGGTTGGTGACAGCTGGGGAGCCTACTTTCTGTGTTGAGAAGGTAACAGCTCCAGAGCAGTAATATGGGCTGAGGGCGGAAATTGGCACGGGTCTCTAGTCTCGGCGGTCTCAGCCAAGGGCAGCTAGCTAGCCACTATGCTTGACCACAAGGAGGAGGCTTTTTTTTTAAAATTCACTTTATTTTCTTAAAATTTCCTTTATTTATTTTTAGTTTCCAACATTCACTTTTATAAGATTTTGAGTTCTAAATCCCCCCCCTTCCCCAAGACAGCATGCAACCTGATAGAGGCTATACATGTACAATTATATTAAACATATTTAATGGGGAGGCGTCTGGGGGAGCTGGACATCTGTGAATTCCAGGAGACCAAGAGGAAAAGATCTGAAATGGAGAGAAGCTTGTACATGATGGAACAGGGCTTCCTTCTGAGGGTGGAACGGAAGGGAAGGCCAGAGCTGGAGTGAGGCTTAGGTGGGCTGGAGATGAGATAAATGGAAATGAAAGAATAGGAAGGAAACATTTATTAATCATCTGTTATGTGCCAGGCACTGTGCTAAGCACTGGGTTTACAAAGAAAAGACAGTCCCTGTCCTCAAGGAACTTACATTCTAATTTAGGAAGACGCTGAAAAAGGTCAGGGGAGGGGGAAGCTGATACCAAGTGGGAGAGTAATGTCCACCCTGCACCTTCTCCAATCAGAGGGAGGGAGGGGCCCCATGTGCAGGGGTTAAGTTTTAGAGTTAATGTAATCTTGCAGGAAGATGAACTTTCGGTAGGAAATTGTGAAGTGGCTGCCCTGGGCACCCTCTTTAAATGGAGGCTCTGGGAGGAGCTCTGCGATGTCCACCCTAGGTACTATGCTGAACTCTTTGATCTCACAATCACTCTGTGAAGTAGGTTCTAATTATTATCCCTATTTTGTAGTTGAGGAAACTGAGGCAGACAGAGGTCACGTGCACCTCTCAGATGCCTCTTCAGCAGAATTAAGAGATTGAGGAGTGGGGGGAGTTACCAGCCTCACGGGGTCTGAGTCAGGTGGACTCAGGGTATGTTGTCAGATGCCAACAGCCCCACGGATGATGGTAAACAGTGTCTTAGCCCTGCCTCCAAGCGCATCTTCTCAATCTGGTCCTCACCAGGACCCATCTGCCCCTGCCCCCAGGTCCCTCCAGGTTCTTGTTTTGTTCTGCTTTCTCACCTTCTTTGGAACACTTTGTGAGATCTACCATTTGTTCAAGTGTTCATCTTGAGATTGTTCTGAACCTGTACTGTTTGTGAATCACAGTACCTTTCAGCCCACTTTCCTCTCTCTAGGTCGTCTCAAACAACAGCCTCTTCCTTCAATGTGTGGCATCACCTATAATTTTCAATTCAATTAAACAAAGATATTCTAATTACCCATTGTGTTAGATGGGGAGCATATAGTTTGGGTTAGATAGTCCCTTCTCCCTTTGTAGTTTACAATCTAATAGCAGGATATGACATATACATAGCCAGATAGCTAGGTGGTACGTTGAATAGGGCACTGGGCCTTGAGCCAGGAAGACCTGAGTTCAAATGCAGCCTCAGGTATTTAACTTGTTTGCCTCAGTTTCCCCATATGTAAAATGAGAATAATTATAGCACCTACCTCTCAGGGTTGCTGTGAGGACCAAATGAGATAATAATTGTAAAGCGCATGTCTTTGGAACATAAGGCTCCTCACCTACCCCCACACCCACATCTCAAGATATTTATTTCTTCCCTTTTGCCTACTGGTAGTAGAATTCCTGAGGGGAATTCTTCTTCATCACTTAATGAAGAATAATTTTCTTCCATTTACCCCAATCATTCATGGGGTACAGAGCTTACCCTAGGTTCTCAAAGATTATGCCACTGCACTGTGGCATCTCTGCCAGGTTCTGCCATGCATGGCCCTAGTTACAGACTAAATCTGTTTTCTGAGAACCAACCTAGTTAATTAGAGAAAAGACACATCACCAGGAGGCTGGCCACCTGATGGTAAATTTTTTTGGAGCGCCCTTCTAGACCAATTCTAACTTTCCAAGCCACCATGCCTTGGCTGCAATCTCTCTTTAGGACATCATTCAGCACTTGGGGTCTCCACACCCTGGAATACCCATTTGCTCTTGTGGCCTTCTCATCATAAAGATTGCAATCTTCCATTAGTGAGCTCTTCCGAGGGTCCCCATTTTGGGGAGAGACCCAGTCTGGCCAAACTTCATTCGCCTTGTGGCTTGGCTTCTGACTTTTCAGACTCTGACACCATGACACCACCCCCCATACGTGTACACACACACACACACACACACACACACACACACACACACACACCCTCATCTCTTCCCTCCAATATAACCCCACCCCCTCTCATCAGCATCTGTTAGAACCTGAGCTCTCTGAAAGTGGGGACTGTCTTTCTTTTTGCTTGTTTTTGTATATTCAGCACTTAGCATAGTGCCTGACACATAGTAAGCACTTAATAAATGCATGTTGCC